ACTATATATATATATATATTAGTATATATATATATATATATAGGTAAAGAAACGATTAATTTTTTTCCCTTTTTTTTTTTGATTAAAGATTTTACGAGTCAATGATTATTCCTTTTTTTTTTTTTTTTTTTTGGAATAATCGACAGAATATTGGACACGAAAATTGACGACGATTGAAACTCTCGACAAGTTTTTTTTTTTTTTTTTTCAAAGACAATGGAATATTTCTGCGATCGAGCGGTCGCGTTAAATAATGCAGCACGCGGATAGAAATATCCCGTTTCGATTATTCGTTGCGCCGTTAACTACGGAAGGAAGTTTCGCCCGTTATTTTTGGAGAGAATTTCATTATTGCGCAAGTACGATCGACGTCCTGGCTAAATACCGGGGGGAAGGGAAGGAGAGAAGGAGAAGGCGAGCAAAGAGGAAAATTGGTCCACCGAATTACCTAATCTCCCTACACACCTAGCGGTCGGTGATATTCGTGGCTCGTAAGTCGGCTAACCGCTTACTTACAAAGATTACATTCCGTTTTAGCGGCAGAGCTTTGTCAATTCCTCAACACGAGAGGCGTATCACGGATACACGTCCTCTATTCAGAAAGCGCATCCGTTACGTAGTTAAATAACCAGTTAAACAAAATAATCGTGAAAATAGTCGCACTACGTTTGAACAGAATCGAGGAGAAGGATTTTCTTTTTTTTTTCTTCATTTACTATCGCGCAAAGTGATTGCTAGGATTCAGGAAGAAATTTAACTCCACGAGATCGGTGGAGAATATAAAATTCGTTGGCGGAAAAAGCTGTGGTTAAATCGTAAAGCTTCTCGTGCAGATCCTCGAGAGGACTCTGTTTTACGATGAACCGAGGAAACGGAGAACGGAGAGCTGGCTCCTTTCATATCCCCGGTATGAAACTAAAAACTAAAAATTTACCGGCTTTCAACGGAATAGGGCTGGAACGGAACACGCTTTCGTTTCGCCCTACCGCTTCCTCCATTCGATACGATACTTTTCCTCCTTTCTTTCTCGAGGTAATCGAAACAAAGTCTTGGTCACCGATGGGTTAAAGGAGGGTAAACGACTGTTCCACGTTATAAAGTCCTTTCTCTTCCCCTCTCCTGGATACCTCACCACTTACCTCTGGGTGTCCTCGTGTCTGGTAACGTGAGCCAAAGAGGGAATAGAATTGGCGCGACTAAAATGTAAGTTAACCTCTTCCTGGCACTGCTGGGCCACCCCATGTCCAACGCTTCCGGAGGGTCATCCTCCTCTCCCTGCAACAACAAACGTCAATTTCAAACGCACGATTCCTCCTCGACAGGAGGGAATCGTTCGCTCTCTAATCAACACCTTCCCTTGATTGATCCTTGATTTTGGTTGCCGGCTAACTAGCTCGAGTGGAATTAAGAGCAAGTTTTCCTACTTGACTGCGCATGAACGTTCCCCATTATCGTTGAAGGGAGCGAAGCAATAAGGCTCGTGGCAAAAGAGATAGGCCTTTAAATAATTTGACGCGGTAAAGTTACAACAAAAGCGGAAACCCTTACGTACGTATATCCATTCTGTCGGGTAACCGCGACACAACGGCCTCGGTTAGACGTTTCGCATTTTCCAGCTGCAATCGTTCTGCAACGGAGATAATTGCCGTGGAATGAAACGACGCCCAGTAATTCCCCTGGTCTGGTACACCAATAATTTTCACCGAGCCGCCACGCGACCGACCACCACCTATAACGCCGTGTCGGATCGACTCTATCGCTATCACAGAAACGACGGGAAATACCGAGCGATCGAGCTTCAAAGAGACGTACTGATAGCAACGTGATAAATACTGTACAGAGGATGCGAACGAGTGGAATAAAGCGAGATTAATAAAGATCGAAATACAAAAGAGAAAAGTTGCGGAAAGATAGACAACCTTGAAGGTCGACAGACTAGAGAGAAAGAAAGGAAGAGAGAGAGAGAGAGATAATTGTGGTAGAAGACGCGGAACTCGGGCGGAAAAGCCATTGCCTGGTGACTTTGCTTCGATTATCCGAGAGTAAAAGAGGGACTGAAATAGGCAATGTGTAGCGTAGCGACGCCGGGTGTAGCCAGAATTGACCCAGATTCGCGATGCATTCAAAATGAAAAGGCCTTCTCACTCATTTAGGACAAAGAGGTTCGAGATTCCCCCGCGATCCGCGCGCGCCTGCTCTTTCCGACCACCAGCTAATATCGGAAAAAAGCTTGCGCTGCCAATTTCTCACTCGTGGAAAATCGGTTCGCGCTTCGATCGTCCGATTACTTTCTCGAATTACCAACCCAACACCACCGATCCTTAAACCCACGTCCCGAGGTCATCTCCCGTTCCTACGTTCGAGTACGTTGAAACGGCGAGTGGCCGTGAAACGCCGCGTTTCTCTATGCGACGATCGTCACATTTTCACGGAACGTTACCTCCAACGACGCGAATATCACAAGAACGAGGTGGAGACGGTGTCTCGACGACGGTGGACGACGGGAGTCGACTGGCCACAAAGGATATTAAGCTGAAAGCCGAGATGGCTCGAGAGACGGCCAACTTTCGCGTCGAATCGCTCGAAAATGAAAGTTCTCGCCCGGGAAAAAGCCACTTTTCGCAATTGTCTTGTTTTCCCGGATGTCGTTTCGCTATACAAAACGACCCGATTCTCCAACGGCCGGCCATTGTCAGGCCTCTCCTATAAACGTCTTCGTTACGATATATCTGCCATCCTGCCAGGATGGAACACGCGAGGAGGATCGTTTGTCAGAAGCCGACCGGTCGGAAAATAAGCAGTTCCTCGAGTTCGTTTTTCCTATCGGGTTGGTCGCGTCCATCCGAATTATCTATCTTTGTCCGCGATCAGATGGGCGGAATTTCAGATAGGACGATAGGAAGAGCGACGTGGTAGAGTCCGATATCGTTCGCATTGACCGACCATCGACCGCCACGGTATATGGGCGGACGACCATTTTCCCCGAGGAAGATCGGCGAGAAATATTCCCTTCGTAACGTGATGTGACGCAGATAAAAATTTATCGAGCGTAATTTCCTCTTCGAATCGCGTGTAAAATCTAATAAAATTTTTCGCGAATCGCGAAATTGATTTGGCGCAGCTTTTCTCGATGCGAAAAAAAAAAAAAGAAACAAGAAACAATGGCGCGAGGTTGATGGCTCGAAGGATGGTGCGCGAAGCGTTGGAAACGCGAGATTGATTCGCGAGACTGGTCGTTTCATTTCGATTCGATCGATGGACGATAATTGGCTCGGCCGTCGAGTCCGGATAGCGACTGCAGTTATTTTAGAAATGGCCCCTGGGGAACCGAGAAATCAGAAAACGAGGAAATTTCGCATCCGACCGGTCTTCGTGACAGGAAACGAATTCAAATTACGATCCCATGTACACGGATCGTTGGGATGAAACGAGAGAGAGAAGGAGAGAGGGGGAGAGGGAGGGGGGA